AGACAATTCACATTTCCTAGTTGGCCATGTATTTCTGTGTGTGAAAGTACATATTCAGAAACATCAACTGTAATTTTCAGTACTTTGTTGATGTTGTTGAACCGTGAATGCCAGAACTCAGTCATATAGCCTTCAATAGTTTTTAAATAGTTTCATTGGCAAGAAGCTTTTTCATGACTTCATTCAGCCCATGACTGTGGTGTAATTATGTCTCCTCATCTGCGTGTTCTGTTTTATTTTAGTCATTCTTCCGATCCCTGGGATGATCTCTTGACATGTTGTTTGTTAACATTAATTGATGTGGGACATCCAGTATGTACTGTCAGGTTTTCATTCGTCAGGCGCTAACTTCTGAACATGGTTCCACGTAATTTGCACAATTATATGCTGACTGGTTAGTGCATCCAGTGTGCTTAAGGTGGGGGGAAAAGTATCACAGGTCACATGGAAGTTGAAGGGATCAAATGCGCTCCCCCCCCCCATTCCGTAGCAGTCTGTAAAATTTGGTGACTTGATCTGTGTCCAGTAGTTCAGGTAAAAGTTGTAATCTTTCTTTATGGTGCTCATTACAACACACAGGGCATAATGTCTCTTGGAGAATTGTTCCAGGAAGTCAGAGTATGGGGTCATCTCTCAGCTTAGTTTGAACAAGCACCCATGACTTAAGCGTGGTTCGTATAAGCAGCTTATGCTAGTGGAAGGACTATAACTCGAACATTGTTTTAAAAGGATTATTAAATTGCAAATTGTTGAAGTACAAGTTTCAAATGGGGGTACTTGGTTTTCTTGGGCAGCATGATCAAATCCTTGTCTGAATTCCTTGGAAAAATAAATTGTCTTTTTACAGTGGTACATGGAGTTATATTAGCTGTCCTTTGTGAAAAATTTAAGATTTATCTTCATTTGAACCTTCAAGTAAATGAATAAGCAAATAGCAAAACAGCAAAATTAATTTTTGTGCGTAACAGGAGGCCTTATAGTTGTGCCGTCTGGATAGCACAATTTGAGGGACAAATGAAGGGGCAAAGAGGTTTCATGCATTCCAGTGATGTATCTGTGGTTGTCCATGGTCTGGTATACTAATTACCCTCTTTTTCTTTGCCACTCTGTTCTTCAGTGGCATCTATTTTCAAGGAGTTTAGCTGCTGACTCTTTGGCATGCTCCATTCATTATTTCAGTTTTGTTTCTAATGCTGCAGTCCTTTGAATTTTGGCACTCTTGTGTTTCACCCAAGATCTTGTTGATTTTTTTTTTTTCTAGGCCCTGTACAGTATTCTTGCTTTTCTGTCTGCAAATTGCAACTTGAGTTTTTCATGCACTTGCTTGTAGAGGCTATCTTCAGCTTGATGTCCACAAAATCACCATCTTGGAGGTCATGGTTTAGATGCATAGATGGGTCCCCTGCATATTTGGTTTTACATGGAGGGGTCTGTTTTCACTTCAAGTTTTGTTCAGAAGCCTCTCTATTCTTCAGAGCCAAAATTCAAGGACTTAGACTGCAGAAAACTCTTCTCTTTTAGGAGTGGGTGGTGTACATTTGCCACTAAACTTCATGATTAAAGTGCATTTTCTCTTACTGTGGCTTTAATAGGAGTGGGAAGAATGTCTCCTTTAGTATATATGTGTATCGTTCAAACGGCCTGAAAGTTGAGCATTCCGGAGTGGAGGAGTGGTTCTGTCTCCTGCTACGAGACTGCAGTTTCCTAACATGACTGCGGAAATGTGTGGCTGGGTTAAGAAGAGCAATGGGGGAAGGGTAGTAAAATTATTTGAGAATAAGGGTCATAAGATGAGGACTCCTGTTTAGGAAGATGCCTAAAGAAATACGTGAGAGGGCATGGCTAATCCATGTTGGGAATCTGTTGCTTTATTTCACATCATGCAAGCAGACTGTTCTGGGTCTGACTTCTCTCTTTGGTGTTATTACATATAAAGTCATGCTGTAACTTGGGCAGTGGCACTGCTGTAAGTTAGTCTGATTTGCATACAGTTATATGCTCAACTAAAGGTGTCGTTCCAACTAAATCAGTATAGTGCACAAACCACCTCCTGGAAGAACGAAGAATGTACCGGTGATTCAGGTATACACTGATCAGTGAAAGATATTTATGTAGATACAGACTCAAAAACAGCCTAAAAGGTATTTTTAGCAGGAAGGAGGTGGGACTTTCTAATGTCAGCTTGTTTGTTTTCTTTTAAAACTTAATGTGTTTTGGTTTGTTGTTTTTTGGAAGGGTTTTTTGTTAGGCTTGGCATATTCATCATATCCATTAGTCAGCTATACTTCAGGTACACGTGAGGATTTTGAAAACCTGGCCTACTCCCCTACAGATTTAGACCTGTGTTCTGGTGGAAGTATGGTCAGCTAGAGTGTTTGCAGAGAAGGCAAATGCAGTCTGTTATTGCAGTTTTCAGAAGTTGATTACTTTATGGTATGGGCTGTGAATAATTTCCTAAGTAGAAGTTATATGGCCACATAGTGGTTATCCTTGTGTCTGGTTGTATGCACGTCTGTGGTGGGTTGCTCGCACGCTTGAAGGGTGTCAGCATCTCACCTACAAGGCTTAATTTAGAATAGCAACAGCTTTCAGTTTAACCTCTGGGGAGGGATAAAGCAAATTGATTTTAAATGGAGAGTGGATTTGTTAACTCTTGAAGTGTGCTAGCAGTTCTGTATGAGTTGCTGGAACTGCTTATGACCTGACTGTATTTTTAATTGTGGTTTACATGACAAACTACTGAGAGGGACATATAGCTTCCAAAGCACAACTCTGAATATTGTGTGATTAGTGATTTGAGAAATTAGAAGGAAAACTGCTTTTTTTAGTCCAAATTTGGCAGTGCTTGTGTTCAGTTTAACTAGCTTATTCATAATGCTGTTCTGTTTTAAACACAGTAATAATGTAAAATACTGCACAAAAATGTGATGATTGCCAGGGCATTTCCTACTTTTTGAGCTCTAAATTAAGGTGAAATAATTGAATATCTGCATTGTATTTTATGGTCTCTTTGACAATAAGAAAGTGTTAGGTGTTCGTTTAAACTCTGCTGATATCATGGAATGAATAAAAAGTCTATTATTCTGCAGAATAATTCCCCATTTGATTTATGGCAGCATTCTGTAATTATTTTGATCACTCTGACTTCACTAGAGTTGCATGTGAAGATAAAAAAGTAAGTCGTATTTTTTTCCTAGCAACTGCAGTAATGTGAACCTCGTGCATGTGCTTAGGATACAAGACCAGTGTACACCATATTTTGTTGGCTAGTTACAGTTTGCATGGGTATCAATATTATGTGTTTGCTTGAAAAGACACAGAACTTAAGAGCAGGAATTGGGGGTGAGAGGTAGCAGAGGTGTACTGCTGCTGACATCTCTCCATACGGCTGAAGTATGTGTGGCTTTGTTTTTGCTAACAAAGCATGTGAGCCAAAGAGTGTATATCCAGTCCCTATGCCTCACACTTGAATCATTGTTGTGGTGAGATCAAATATAAACATTTCTTGACTGTTTGTTCTAACACAGATGTTTTAGAAAGGTTGATTGTGGCTAGAAAAAGCAATGTGAAAAGCTTTTTTTGGATATATAGTCACTTATAGCTGGAGCTGTATTGCAGTAAAAGCATGTTACCAAAAAGCGGTGTTATCACTTAGAAAACTGATGTGTTCCACGTAGAAGTTCAAACCTTCTAAATCTCCTAGTACTAATTTTTGTGCTTTGTATAGCTGCTTAGTTGGGGCTTCAGGTAAAATCTGTTTCAGGGACTCTTCTCACAGTTAATTTTTGTCCACGGTCTTCACATAGAAAAGCTCACAATCTTGTTCCATTACCTTGTATTGTAGAACAGTGATTTGCACACTCTTTGATGCTCCCCAGGGCTGAATTTGCAAGTATGTAAAATGTGTGACCTAGTTTGTATGATTTTTTTAATAATGAATGCACAAATAAACTGATGTGGATTAGAAGGGTGGGTTGGATGGTTAGGGTGTAAGAACCATGAAGATAAACCAGTCAGTTTACGCTGCCTGCAAATAATAATTCTTATTCTCTTAAGCATGAATATTTGCTGCATCACATCCTTGTGAAGGGAGGTGGAGGAGGACAGGGTGTGCAGTATATTGGTCTGGCTTGAATAAAGAAGCATGAATTTATAACACATGTGATTTTATTTCCAAACAGATTTCCTTAGACTTGTCAGGGGCAGTTGTCTTTCAGTCATGCATGAATACATTAAGGGTTTAAGTAAATCTGCAGCACAGACATCTGAGAAGCTTGCTGCGTAATTTAACTGAAAATCTAAGGATGAGCTTTCACAAGATGGCTGAGCTAAACTAATGGCTTGCTGCTGCCTAAAGGGACAGCTGCTCTGTTCCTTCTGAGTCCTGCTCCTAGTTATCCAGTGTTGCCTCTTCCTTTATGTAGATGCTGGCATCATCTCTATCATCCAGATTATTTTATCTGTTTAAAAAAAAGAAAAAAGGCACCAACCAACACCCCACCCCCCCACCCCCCCCCAAACTAGTTTGCTTTTGTTTCCACATCTCCATTGGAGAAGTGGAGTGTGAGCCAGGACTTTATGGCCAGCAGGTAAGGATCTAGGGAGTGCCACTGTCCTGGAAACATTGAACTTTTCATTGGCTTGGTAATCATAGCTATTCAGATGTATGCCAATTAACAAGTCCTCTTTCAAACTGATGTCATACATACTTAGACAAGAGGTGTTTGTCAGAACCATGAATGATAGTGGAATGTAAGTTTTTTAAAGTAAAACAGCTGAAAATACTTTTAAAAATATCAAAATCACAGTTCAACTACTAGCAGTGTCCTTGTTGAAGTTGAATGAAAACAATGCAAATTTACTTGAGACACAGAGAAGTCACTGGCTGTGTATTTTTGTCATCTTAGCATTATTTGGGCTATTATGTAATAGTTTCCAATAGAACGTTTAAACAAGATGATTAAGAAATCTTAATAATTTTTTTTTTCTTTTTAGAACTGAAGGAAGGCCATCATGGGAGCATTTTTAGACAAGCCAAAGATGGAGAAGCATAATGCCCAGGGGCAAGGGAATGGGCTTCGTTACGGTCTGAGTAGTATGCAAGGCTGGCGAGTTGAAATGGAGGATGCACATACGGCTGTAATTGGTTTGCCAAATGGACTTGATGGATGGTCATTTTTTGCTGTATATGATGGGCATGCTGGATCACAGGTTGCCAAGTACTGCTGTGAGCATTTATTAGATCACATCACGAGCAACCAGGATTTTAAAGGGCCAGATGGGCCTCCATCTGTGGAAAGTGTAAAGAGCGGCATCAGAACAGGTTTTCTGCAAATTGATGAACACATGAGAGTCATCTCTGAGAAGAAACATGGTGCAGACAGAAGTGGGTCAACAGCTGTGGGTGTCATGATTTCTCCCCAACATACATACTTCATCAACTGTGGAGACTCGAGAGGTTTACTTTGTAGAAACAGGAAGGTTCACTTCTTCACGCAGGATCACAAACCAAGTAATCCACTGGAGAAAGAGCGTATACAGAATGCAGGTGGCTCTGTAATGATTCAGCGTGTGAATGGCTCTCTTGCAGTTTCAAGGGCACTTGGGGACTTTGATTACAAATGTGTCCATGGGAAAGGTCCTACAGAACAGCTGGTCTCACCTGAGCCTGAAGTTTATGAAATTGAGAGATCAGAAGAAGATGATCAGTTCATCATACTGGCTTGTGACGGTATCTGGGATGTTATGGGAAATGAAGAGCTGTGTGACTTTGTAAGATCCAGACTTGAAGTCACTGATGACCTTGAGAAAGTTTGCAATGAGATAGTTGACACCTGCTTGTACAAGGTAGCCAGACTTGAGAGAAGAAGTTTACTGTGTTTTCACTATTAGAAGTTTATGAACAAGTTAAGAATAAGTGTTGAGTCCAGTCTATGAGTATCCAATGGTTTATGTTAACATGACTTTGACAGTAATTACCATGATTCCCACAAAAATGGTGGTAGAGGGGAAGCAAGCACACAACAGAAACAGTACAGCTTTCTGGGTGGTTTTGCTTAATGAGTTTAAAATCATGTGCAGTTATGTTGTGATCACTGGAAAACTAAAACCTGATGGGAAATTATGGGCAAGCCAAGGACAATAACTGCCCTTTTCTGTTCCACAGCATACTTTACAAAAGCTTAACTCTTAAGACTTAAGCAGGCTAGAGAATATTCTTTCCCTTCCTTTCTTGGGCATATAGTAGTAACATTACTGTCATAACTACACGAAGATAAATGCAGAATGAATGAACCTTGACTTCATATTTTGCAGTTTAAAATTTCTTCTTGACTATATGATTATCTGACTTCCTAAGTTAGTTTTTATTCCTGTTTAATGACTCTATTCAGTGTCATGTGATACAACTCTGAAACTAGCTTAAGTAGAAGAAGATGGAAAGGTTTCATTTAACACTTCTGTGCAATTTTGTCTACAGTAACTTCTACTTTGTATTAGTAAGTTGCAGGATGGTGCAGTTACAGAAGAGAGTTTCATAGCTTGACACCTAATTTTCCAAGGAAAGCTTTCTATAAAAGCAAGTAGTGATGAAGGGTAATGGCTTTAAACTGCAAGAGAATAGGTTAGATTTAGGAAGAAATTCTTCCCTGTGAGGGTGCTGATGCACTGGCACAGGTTGCCCAGAGAAGCTGTGGCTTCCCCATCCCTGGCAGTGTTCAGGACCAGGTTGGACTGGGCTTGGAGCAACCTGGTCTAGCGGAGGGTGTCCCTGCGTGTGGCAGGGGTTTGGAACTACATGATCTTTAAGGTCCTTTCCAACCCAAAACAGTCTGTGGTTCTATGAAAAAAGCCAACATTTTTGATACTAGAGAGGCAAGACAGCATCTCCATTCTTGCCACGTGGCTAAGAAGGTCATTGTTTCCCTTTTGGAAAAATGTAATTGTTTTCCAGCACTTTGGCAGGTTGATAATACAATTTGTTTACAATTTTCATCTGGTAATTCTGAAAACAAATACCTGCGAAGGAGCAGTGGCTTGTGGATGCTGTAAGCTTTGCAGTAGCTAGCTGTCAGCACCTCGCCATACATTCATGTACTCTTGTTTTAAACACTGGCTTGTTGTTGCTTACTTCATTGGTGTTGAAAGTTAAGCGTATGGATGCATACGTGTAGACCAGAGCAGTTACTTTTCATAAGCAGAATGCGTTTGTATTTTAACATATTCAAGTATTAGGGTTCTGTTTAGTTGGAGTTTTAAATGTTTCCATTTCAAAGAATAGTTTTGTAAAGGCCTGGGCCCCTTCCAGCTGGTCTTTCAACTCATTCTCTTCCTTGTAACTTTTTTGTTTTAAGAGAAGAGAGATAAAAAGAGGGGAAAAAAAACCCCGTAATAGCTGTGGGTTTAGGTGGAAGCACTGTCTGATTTCAGCACTTCCCTCTTTAGTGCTTTTAAATGATAATGGTTTTGTTTACCCATCTCATATTCAGCTGTTTTCCCAAAATGATTGGATAGTACTTAAAATAAGATGGAACACAACTTTGTAATTACACAGCACTCATTAATAATGTCTGTTGTTCAAAGACAATGGGGCTGTCTGTCATTGGTCTCATGTAGTCTTCAGACCATAAAAGAGTGAAGAACAAAATGACTTAAATTGTGCTGAAAAAATGGGCAGACTTCTGGAATTTTTTGAGGGTGTAGGAGGAAATTAAGGATAATGATAATGTTAATCCACAGTAGTAAAAGTTGTATTCTAATACCATCTAACTTGTGAATTTTTGTGTGTGAGATGCTTTGATGTGTATTTAGCCTGGTGTGTATACATTCTCAAATCATTTTTTCTTTTCCACCAGGGAAGTCGAGACAACATGAGTGTGATATTGATCTGTTTTCCGAATGCACCAAAGGTATCGCCAGAGGCTGTGAAAAGAGAGGCAGAGTTGGACAAGTACCTGGAAAGCAGAGTAGAAGGTGGATCATTTAAAAAAAAATAAGTAACTTTGTTTCTAAACAGACCCCCTGGCCCCCTTCCCCTTCCAACAACTAAGCTTTTAACACATTTGGGCTTTTTAATAGACCTTCAAGTGCCATTTGGCCATCTAGTGTACATCTCTGAAAAAGGCACTCAGTCCTGCTGTACGTCCTGAGAAAATCTGCAATGGAAGTGCAGCAGGCTGTGGTCCTGAAAGTTACTCAGAACAGCAGAGAAATAATGCATTTGTGCTCTGTGTTCTTCATGAGTCCATTGACAGCGCTAACTTCCAACCAGTAAATTTTGGTTCCTGTTACATGAGTTAAATGAAATAATCAGAATATATTGCAGAGTGAAGATGATAATTTGAGTGCCATTTTTCCAGATAGTTATGTACAAATCAGTTAGCTATAATATTCTCCAGTTATGGTAGGGTTACAGCTTGATTACTGTCATCTTTAAGGCACCTGCTAACATATTCATTTATTTGAAAGTACGTCAGAAATTTATCAAAGCTAATCTTTAAGCATTCATGATGAACAAAAGCTGGGAGCTCGTCTTACACTGATAATAACTTCAGAATTTTGCTTCAGATTTGTACTTGAGGAGTTCTTAAGCTTTAAACTGAAACTGCAAGTCTTAACAAATTTTGGGTGACCTAACTGAAAACAATATTTGAAATCAGTTTGATTTAAAAGATTTCTCATTATATCTAGATTTATAGTGCCTTTTGATACTTAAAAACAACCACAGCTTGGAGTTTGTTTCTGAAACATAAGACAAGCTGTATGCATTATTTGCATAGATTAAGTCTATTTTTGAAGTGGACTCCTCTAGACCTATATGTTACAAGTCTAGTTATGTGTATATACTCCACAAGTCCTTAATAGCACACAGGGCACAGTACACCAGAGTTCTTCACAGCTATGGTATCTGTGATTACTAAGTTAGAGGAATATATTGTGCACTTTTTTCCCCCTCCTTAGCTTGCATGAAGATGACAGTGCAGCTTCAGAAATTTCACAGAGAACTTGCCTACGTGGGAATTCTAGGTTCCACTAAATCAATGTGCAATTTTAAAGCACTTTTTACCTGTGTAGGTGTTCCTTCAGAAAGTACCACCTTTTTTTAAAGGCCTTATTCACTGTGTCTTGGCAAACTACATCTGTTCTGCCCCTGAACAAATGTCCAGACAGACATTTCCGTGTTTTAAGCTAACACTTCCCTAATAGGAGGAGTTGGTGCACAGTAAGCAATAGTGTGAATCTTTTTGACAGTGTAGCAGGAATATCTATGTGCATGGTAACACTGCATGAGTTAAGTGTCAGATGGCTTTCTCCATTTCAAAGCAGTGAGCAGTTTTGTACCAGGCATTTGAAGAGCTTACTATGTATGCCCACCCACAGAATTTGTGAAGAGCAAGTGTGCTTTAAAGTCACACATTAATTTACAGCATGCTAACTCTCCTCATTTGGGCAAGTATTACCTTCCTGTCTTAGATACTTTGTCTGAATTCAGACAAACCCATAAACTACAATATGAAAATACATTCAAGGCTGCATCTTCAGCTGGCCTTATTGTACCCCAGGAATATATGATGAGGAAAGCTGACGTTTTTGTACAGACACTTCATTTTGTAAATGAAGAACCTAAACACTGGAACTGTGTGTGATTATGGTACATACAATGAATTTGGCTGCCAGTACTTTGCATTTATACAAAAACAAAATTTCAGGAATGAGCAAAGTTTGATACTTTATATAGAGGCAGAAGGATTCTGTATGTAGTTATAAAGCACCTTAATACTAATTTATAGGGATGATATCTGAAGAGTTTGAGGAAATATATTGTACTTCCCCAAAAGGTTTCTTTTTTAGAGTAGTCCTCAATCTCTTCTCTATTGTTGCACAAAGATATTATTTAAATTAATGAGTATGTAGTAAACACTATTCAATCCATCAGCGATTTATATCAGCTGAGTGGAGAATTTGGCCTTTTAGGTCTTACTCATGAGGGAAGTTGAGAGACTGAACTAAGGCAGAACTTCAAGACCAGGAATTGATTAACTTTGTTGCATTGAACTGAGTAATTCTTAGCAGTTGTTTCCTGGTGTAATGGATAGTGCAGTATGGCTAGTGAGGTAGGGTGGCTACAGCATCTGAAGTTTTCAACACTACAATGAATAATCTTGCTGTTATCCTAGGATACTTTAAAAATGGCAGTGCTTAACTTTAAAAGGGTAATCTGCAGCTGAAGGAACTAGAAAATACGAAGAGTACTTTTATAAAGATCTCACTAAAATAAGTTAAAATAGAAACTTGGTGAAAACACATATCATGTATTTTTATGCATTTCAGTACTCAGTGTAGTCCAATAAGTAATGAGATTTGATGTTACTAATGTGCTTTTTTTTTTTTTTCCCTGGTTGTACTTTTATTCCCTCAGCCTAGCATATGACTTTATACCATTAAGAAGCAGTGCGAATTTTAAGACTGAATGGGGTTTAGTACTGATGGTCATCTTGAATAAGGAGAGACGATTCAGACTTTTAGGAATGTAGAAAGTTTTCTACTTACCATCCCACCTAGGACTCTTCTTTTACTAATTCTGATGTGTTTGTGATTCAGATTCATAGCTACAGTAAATAATAATGGAAGAAGCAGCAAGTGTGGAGAAGCATCTTTGTGCCATTACTTGCAATAAATCAGTGTTACTCCTAAAGTATCGTGTGAATTTCATGGTAGAAGTAATCAGTCATTCCAGAATGTGTTGCTATTATTTGCACTAGTATGTGTTACTGATGTGTTGACTCTAAAAAGAAAGTTGTTGTCTAAACTTCTTTTGTTGTCTTTTTTTTTTCCCATGAAAACATTCCATAATAGATAATCCTTGCAATATTTATACCTATATAGAGAAAAATAACTTTAAGTTAGGCATTATATGTGCCTTCCCATATTTTTCACAAAATGAAATCTCTGGCTTTTCCTTAAACTTTGTGTGGAATTCCCATTCAGAATATCAAAAAGCAGATATGTTTTGAATCTCTTATTTTAGGGTTGTAAGTACATTTTTCCAGTACTTGATGCCATGAAAATGTGTAGAAGGTTTAAAAGTAAATTAAAGGTTGGGGGGAGGGTTACAAGATGTATTGAAAGAAGATAATTCCAATAAATTCAACACAGCTAGCAGACTGACTCCATTTGTTGTGTCTTCAGTGTTCATTCAGTCTGTATCTATAGTTTTATCAAAATATAAATGTGTCATTTAGTGGAGACTGTATGTTAAATGTACTGCAGTTACAGGTTGTGAAACTGTGTAGTATAGGTAAACTATAAATTCCTTATTTTTGTACAGCAGAACTTTAGCACTAGTACAATGTAGAATATATTAGATGTTCAAAATTGCACAATAAAGGAACTTGGCGAACCAAATCTGAGATCTTTGCTTTTTATTGAGATTTAAGAGTGTTAGATTATTTGTTTACTGATTTTACTAGATGGTAAAACGAATTTTGGCTATAGGCGTTGAGGAAATGGCAAGTTTTTGAGGTGTGTATGGTGTGTGGTGTCATGTATATAAGAAGTAGGTTTGGAAGTAAATGGCTAAAAGCTTTTTATTTGCAGAGTTTTGACACTGGTTGAGGGCTAGACAGTGCTCCCACTGTACCTGGCAAATAATTTACACAGCCTGACTGCAGAATAGAGCTGATGCTTTTTGTAAACACACACAGACCTGAAAAACTATTACATGCACTGAAAGTAAGTCACAATTGTTGGGGGGGGTTTTTGGGTTTTTTGGTGTTTTTTTTTTTTTTTCTTTTTAACTGAAAAGGACTGGATACATGTTAGTTTTTAAAGCTTTTAATGTGCCTTATCTCACAAATTAAATTATAAAATAGAAACTTCGTATGCTTTTCTGGAATTACCATTTAGGGCAAAAACTGAATGCTAGAGTATTCTTCAAAAGTGGTACTGATGAATTCCAGCTACTCTTAAACCTGTGTAAATACTTTATTACATGAAGAATAGCGTGCATCTACATATGTGTATGTATATATGCATGTATGTACACATTATTGTGTGTGCAGCCTTATGCCCTTGAAGATCAACAGCGCCAAATCTTAAAAATTCATCTCTCACACAGTTTGTAAGAGCTCATGTTTACAGAGAAACCAATGTTCTTTAAATTTCATAAAATCCCCATTTAAAGAGTGAGTCTTCAGAGGTGGTATGGTCTCTTGAGTTCAAATAAAGTTGTGTGCTTACAAAAAAAAAGCCTAAAAATAAAGTTAAAGACTGAATTTCTTAGCGAATGTGACTGTGGCTACAGTACAGATTCTCTTCACCCAGAAGTTGGAGCGGATCAGCTTTAAATAACTGCCCAGTATTCACATATCCCTGAAGTGAGTTGAGGATGGAGCTGTCTCTTAGATGTGGTGTCCCTGGCTTTTAATTTGTATGTAATAGTTCTTAAAATTTGCTTGTTGCTGTAATGCAGTGAGGTACAAGTATTGGCTAATACACATACAGCCATGGGAGTTATTTTTAGTATATCTAACTTTTTGTTCCTTGAAAATACTATGCTTTCTATGATGGGAATAATCTTTTACCTTCTGTTGCAGCGATAAAGCTCAGGGCATTCTGTTGGGAAGATACAACAGAAGATGCAGTATCTAATGTATAGCAGGAAAGCCATTAAAGATTTTTTTTTTTCCCCTGCTTTTATTAGGTAGCTGTGTACTTCTAAAACCAGTGTGCATGTTAACAGGTAGGAATGTATGTCAAATCTGTTACAGGTTCTTTTTCATACCAAACCAGAGTTAACAATTACCACGTTGAATATGGTCTGTCATAATTTTTAAATATATATATGTTTACTGAAGTTAAGCTGCCATGTTATAAAACTGAGTGTTTCAATCTTTTTAAGTTAAATTTGGACTGCACTTACAAAAAAAGTACTTCTGATTCCCAGAGATCATAAAGAAGCAGGGTGAAGGAGTCCCAGACTTAGTCCACGTGATGCGTACGTTAGCAACTGAGAGCATCCCAAACCTCCCGCCAGGGGGTGAATTGGCAAGCAAGTGAGTTCACATCGGTGTAAATGTGGTTTTTCATTTAAATCAAAACTTAACTGTCAGGCCACTCTTAAAACTGGGGGGAGGGAAAAAAGGTGGAGGACAAAAGGTGATGATCTGTTCTTCAATTTGTATTACTCAGTTTCTCTGAATGGACAGGACAAGCATAAGAACAGAGTTAACTATGAATTGCTACTAAAATTAAATGTCAAACTGTAGCTTGGAGAAGGACCAAGGGTTTGTTATTTTGGTTTTTTGGTTTTTTGGTTTTTTTTTTTTAAGGGTGGCCTGAGTGTGTCTGTTTCTTGTAATTAACTGGGTTTTCTGGGTGGGAGGTTTGAAGATGCAAAAATAATGCGCTGAGTTTAATAGCTACTTGGGTATGTAGTTCTACACTTTGACAAGAAGTGATACGCATATGTTTTGCTTGGCAACTTTCTTTTCTTGTCTATAGCTAAAGCAGTGTCATATTTGCTTAAAGTTTGCTTTTGTATCTCTCTGCTGTGACAAATCTGAAAACTAGATAGAAGTTTATGAAAAAAAAAAAGTGGGAAGTTGAATTTACAGCCTTATATAGGCTGGCTTTGTCCTTGAGGAGTTCAACATTGATGCTTTGTGGCTTCTCAAATGGATGCTCAGTCTTTAAGAAAACAATGCGCTTAGCTTGTTTGCACACCCGAACCAACTGCTTTTTGGTTCAAAAGATGATTCATGAACCTGTGCTGTGTTAAACTGGATTGGGTGCATATGTTATAGACTATTTTTAATCCTTCAGAATATGATTTTTGTATTGTTACACAAAAACCATGAAGACTATAGGTATGCAATTGAATAAATAACTGTAAAATGACCTCTACAAAATAAAATTGTTCTTGCATGAATTGTTTGACTAGGAAGAGGTGTCGATCTTAAGTATAATAGCATCTATTTAGGATGTGTGGCTATAGTCTTGAACTATTGATGAGTCATGAAGTATGGCATACAGATTGATTTTTCTCAGTCTCCTTTGGCTAGCAGTAGTATCACGGTTGTGAGGTGGTGCTGAACTGACTGACTTCCATTGGATTTTGTGTCTTAGTGATGCTAGTTTGAATAGGGATTTATAGAAGTAAAGATTTAATTGGATGTTAGTGTAACTCAAAGCACTACTGCCAATTTGGAAGAAAAATAATGCTTTTCAAGAAACCTTCTTTTATCTGTAATCAAAGATACCTATTTCTTGAAAGATAAGGGAAACTTTCCTGTTCATGTGTGCAATGTACTTTGTGTGTAATTGCTTGGATTTATTGCTTTAAATTCAGTCTCTTCTTCCATGCCATATAATCATTCACTAGATCCACTGTGATGTTTCTACTGCTGCATGGTAATTCCTGACTTTTTAGTGTTATGAGATGATTATAAAGCCTATCATCTGCTTTTTTTCTTTTGCTGCACTCCTTTGTGACTGTGCTGCATGCATTCATGAGCAGTTAAAAGGTGGTTCTTTGAAGTTTGTTTTCTGTCACAGTTGTAGTCTGCTACGTCTGTATACTTGGTTCTGCAGAGGAGGATTTGGAAGAAAGTTGCTTTTAAAGTCCAATCTATAATTCATGTGTTTTACTGCCCTCTTTCCTTCCTACTCCCCTTTTTTCTTCCTGCTCCCTCTCCAAAGTCTCACATTGTTGGCGTTTTTGGTTTTGAGTGTCAGTTTTAAAGAAAACCTTTGCACCATGTGTAACAAACAAAACTAAACAACAAACTGCAAACAAAGTGTTCCTTGTTTACATGTTAGTTGCAATTTTTCTATTAATATTTTATCAATCTTTTTCCTATCAATATATGTATCAATATTAGAAAAGTCAAGAATTCCAGAGGTTAAAGTTAATTACAGGCTACCTTAAATATGCTAAGCAAATTTTTCTTACAGGAGGAAGCTGGCAAAATTCCTGAATTTTTTTAAAAAAAATTTTTACCAGACAAAATTCTGCTCAGTCTGAAGATAGGATACATAGACCTGCTATTTACATTTTACATTTTTTTAAGAAGACTTTCAGGAGAGTATTGGATGTATTGTTAAAGAGTATTGCTTCATGGAAAGTACATTTTGGAATGCAACATGAACAGAAATGTATTTCAGAATACAATTTGTGTGCATCCAGAAAATAAAAACCCCTACTATTTGTTGAAGTGCCATAACTCATTAAGTACTACTGCAGTGTTCATCAGGCACACAAATGACGAGGGTATTCAATGTCCAGCAAGTTTTCTGATGCCCTTTCTCAAAGTCAAGAAGTCTAGCACCAGACAGCACTGCAGCCTCACCTGGGTTTCAAA